ATCATCTGAGGGTGAATGTAGTAACTTTTAGTTAGGTTGCTCCTTGCAATTGGTGAGCTTCGGTAGTCTATTCACACGAATGAAGCATTATTTGATTTGTAACTTATGGTTTCAGCCTGAAGAAATAAGGAGGACATAAGAAAAAATTGATTATGCATTCTTATTTGACATATCACATTGTTGATAAGTTTGTGACAGTAGTGATATTTGATTATGCCTTTGTCACATGGTTATTATTAGCATGACAATGTGCATTACTATGCTTGAATGGGCCATTATCACATGGTTATTAGTATTGTGGCAATGTGTCTTATGACATGACTTGTGGAAAGTAGAAATAGGATGAATTATATGACTGCATTATGTGATATGTGCTTAAATGCATATGTGTACTCATCTCTCGTGCATATTCATTATCAATCAATATGCAATTGCATATAATAGACGTACCTTAGTTATTAAGTAGTTGTATCACCCCCTCCCTCTCTTAACATTTTATAGGCTTTAACTCGGGTGCGAATAGGGAAAAATTTTTGAAGGTTTAGGAATTTTATTATTTTGACTGTAAAGCTTCCTAAATTTATTTTATTTTGTGTAATTAATAAGATATTTCTAATTAGAAAATACATTTTGAATATACTTACACTATAGGGATGTTTGTGAGTGATTAATTGTATTGGGCCCTGATATGTGTGTATGTAAAATTTGATTAATTCTTACAGGGCCAAAATACTAATATAAGTATAAAGATAAATATATTATTTATTTTTGCATGAATATTTGTCAAATGAAAATGATTGACCTCCCCTATTGTTTTTGATATTGAAGGGTTGAGGCTTGAACATGAGAGCTGGTTGTTATTTTATGCATATGGTGTATTGCACAAGTTGTCCTCAGTCCTATGAGAATGGTCTAAGTGTAAGTAGTAATTTTTGTCACATGTACTCAATTTTGGACACCCTTGTATTGTGAAAAGTTGAAAAAAAATTTAGATGTCCAACTTCCTTGTGTGGAATTATTTAAAAGTAAAACTCATGTAATTAGTTAGATTATAAAAATAGCTTTTTTATAGACACATTGATTAGACGTCAAATTGAGAAATAAGGCGCGTCAAAAGTTTCCCCTGTGTGTTGTCATATAACAAAATAATACAGTCAAATTTTATGCAGTGCTCCACTGCACACAACACAAAAAAGGACAAGCTATGGCGCATGTGTACATGTCACGATCTATCCCTCTATTTTCTTTTTCAATTGATTTTTTAACTAGTTTTGAGTCTTTTTTACCACCAGATGGTATCTCATGTTTCTATACCTAACTATACTTTGTTTTAGACTTAATAAAGTCACTTTTAAAGAGTTATCAAAAGTTTAAAACTTGGCTTTTGGATTCTTGAATTTAATTTTTTATATTTAACTATGGTTGAGTAATCCTTTTTGGTTAGCACCAATGGTTACCGATGATGATTTGATTAGATTTGGATTAATAAGGGCGATCTTATAAGGGACATATGTCTTATTGACTTCTTAATTTGTTAATGGTCAAAGAAGAAAAAATATAGAGTATATCAAGGAGACAAGGACTATAGAGAATATAATTTATAATAAGAGTGCGAAAGAGTTATTAATAGTAGGGGTGAGAAAAACCAAACCGAAACCAAAAATCGAACCTAATCGAATCGAATTTTGTCTATTTGATTCGGTCTATTTGATTTTTCGGTTCGATTTAATTTTTTTATTTTAAATATTTTGGTTAATCAGTTTGATTCGGTTAATAAAATTTTAAATTGAATAGACCAAACCGACCGAATTACATATAATTTATTAATTTATAAATGATATTTAATTTATAAATTTTTTTATTTTATTTTTATTTTTTATTTTAATAAAGAATAAAAAATAATAACATCACTTGAAACCCTACTTCAGTCAGTCACTCTTATCAGTAGGTGTTATGACTAGATTATAGGGCCATTATTTGATTATCGGTGTTTATTTGTGATTGTTTATTTGATTATCCATGACTTTATAATATTTAGGCTTTATGTCATATGGGTGTAATTAGAATGGGCTCATATTGAAAAAAATGAATAGAAAAAAGCCCAATTTTATAGTGTTATTTGTTTTAATATTTAAAAAATGGGCCCAATTTTAATAGCCCAATATGAAACTGAAAAACCAAATTAACCAATCGAACCGAATTATCAAATTTCGATTTGATCCTTATTCGGTTCGATTCGGTTTTCATTTTTAGTATTATTCGATCGATCGGTTTTGTATATTTTAGGACTGAACTGAATTGAACCGAACCAACCGATGCTCACCTCAAATTAATAGTAGAGTCAGCAATATGGGCCATGTTTTGTGGGTTGGCCTGAATAACTAATCAAAAAGGTCGGGTTGAGTTGGAAAAAAATGATTCAAATAAAAACATTTTTTTCCCGAACCATATAACCTATGAACCATATGGGTTAGGTTTGGCTCTCTTAACTCATATTATTTTTAAAAAAATAAAAAAGAAAAAAGGAAAATTTTTGTGAATATAAACCATATTGGGTATAACTTAATTAGCTGAATCAATTCATATATTTTGTATAAACATTATAAATTAATATTTTAATATATTTATAATGAATTATGAATGAATATCAAATTGAAACTTATTATTTAAATGTATTTTTTTAAATTCATAAAAATAAATCAATTGATTGGTGAGTTAATCCATTCAACCTGTCAACCTTCGAGGATTTGGTTGAATTGAAATTTTTTCCAACCCACATAAAAATTAATTGAAATCAACCCAACCTACATTTCTTTCAAATCCATATGAGGCAACCTATATGGTTCGTGTTGGCCCACATTTCCACATCTAATTAACAGACTCAAACATCCCTCAATGTATGATGGATTTATTTATCACAATTATGCTTTAAGAACATTGAACATGCTTTAAGAAATTTATGGTGAATAGTAGTATTATGTAACTCGTTTTTGTGTTTATTGTTTAATTATTTTTTTTAGAAGAAAGTTTGGATACATTGGGTCCTAGAGCTTGGGTTAGGGAATGCTTACGAACTCAAAAAACACTTATAATGTGCTTATATATTGCTCACCAATAAGCTCCTTACATTAATAACGAGATTTGAATCTCATAATTTTATGAAGTATGAATTAAATTTTCATCAACTAGACTAATTTTTTGTTATTGTTTTCTTATTTAATTGAATGATGATATTGATTTTGGTCAACTTTTTTTTGGGCTCAAATATCATAAATATGGGCTCATAGAAAGAAAAAGAAATCAAAAATATGGGCTTGGGCTCTATTATATCCTTCTCCCGCTGAACATTCTTTAATCATTTTGAAAATTGATGCAATCGGTCCATTTATATTTTGATCTTCTTAACATCTTTCAATTTGTAAAATCCCCATTATTTTTGTGAGTTTTTTTTTTGGTGTGGGGGAGAGTGGAGGACTCTTTAGAATATGTTTGGTTCAAGAGAAGGGAGGGGGAGGGGGAGGGGGAGGGGGGCTCCCTCCCAATTTGGAGGGGAAGCTTTGGAGGGGAGGGAAGAGAAAATTTTAAAAATGTCCCCTCCCCTCCTCCTAACCAAAGAAAGGGAGGGGAGGAGAGGGGCTCCCCTCTTCCTAACCAACTCCCCTCCCCTCCTCTCCCCCAACTAAATACACCTTTAATGTCCACCATTAAAAGATAGGATTGAAAAACATTTGACAGACAGCGAGTTTAGAATCCTGTCATTCTAAAATTAATTATTTTTTTTAAGCTCGAGTCTTATTGATTGAGTTTAAAATAAAGCTTGAAATAGTTTTTTTTTAATTTTTTTTTATTATAATATTACATATTCATGCTCTAAAGTGAAAATGTAAATATTATAATATATAAATTAAGTAATATAAATCCTAATTTTAAAGTATAAATGCATATATTAAAATTTAAATTTAATCCAAAAGTATAAAACACCACAATTTTATGATAAGTATAAGCTTAAATGGATAGCTCGGGCTCTCTCTCTCTCTGTTTTTGTTTTTTTTTTTCATGTGGTACTTAAAAGAACCTAATTCAAAAGATCTTTTATAAACCCAAAAAAAAAAAGCTCTTTTATATTAAAATCTCTAATTGTCAAAACTCAAACCCAATAAAGGGCTTAAACGGATATTTTGACATGCTTGTCCTGTATTGTCAACTCTACTATGTTAGAAAAGTACCATTGACCAGTCGAAGGAAAATTAGGAAGGAGGACATAATGATTTGGGAGAAAACCATGGACCTATATATTTAGTATTTCCCAATTTTCTACCGGTTGAGGATGCCGCAATGATGGCGTGGGCTGCATGCCTTGTATACATAATAACCACATGTTGTTTGAAAAAAAAAATAAAAAATACTTTCATTTTCTTTTCAAGTTTTTAAAAAAATATTAATATTCAAAAAATAAAGAAAATATCTATTAATTACTTGATGGAGCGAAAGCTTGAAGGAGTAATTTAAAAAAAAAAAAACTGACCACCTAACAATAGGTAAGTAAGTTATACTCTCTCTGTTAAAAAATGTAAGGCATTTTTTAAAGAATTGAATGTTTAAAATATAAAATATTTTTAGTCTTTTAAAAGTAATCATTACTTTTTTTTTCAAAAGTGTTTACTATAAGGTGTTTAATAGGGATAAATATGAAAAGATAGGATTAGTTTAAAAGTAAGTAACCACTTTTATTAGAGGATGAAATTTAATTAAAAATATTTTATATTTTTTAACGAAAGAAGTACAAGCTTAATCAATTAATCTGCACCTTCGTTAAGTCCTTCAGGAAGAATGCAGGGCAGAATCAAAATACCAGGTCCTCGTGACATCTAACCCAGCTATCTGTTGTGTTCAGTGTTCCATTGTTGCTTACATTAATTGATGAAGAAAAAAAGGCATTTATTAACCAAGCAAATTAACTCAAAACTAAAAGCTGGTGAAAGGGGGAAAAAACTCTAAACTAAAAGAAACAAAATCAGATTCTAGAATATATAATAAATCAAAGGGTCTCAGTTGAAACACTATCCCAAGATCACCAAAATAACAAGGTGCATTTACAAACTCAGAACAATCTGTCAATTCCTGTTCCTTGTGACGTGCTTAAAGTGGAAGTGATGCGATACCGTTCAAGAGGATCCTTAAAGAGGAGGCGTTCATGGTATACCCTCCAAGCATAGTCCTCAAAATCAAAGGACTGAAACACTGCCCTCTTTTCCACTTCGTCGTCGTTTCCTTTATCCTGTTCGTGTTCATGCCCCACGGCGGCTGGCCTGGGAAGGATCGGAGCCACCCTGCTCTCTGTCGGAAGACTCACCAGCACCGTCATGCTTATGCTTCGCGAACCACTACTCACTTCTCCGCCCATTTCCCCCACTGCTCTCCCTCTCACTTTCTTCAACTTCCCATTGCTCCATACCTTTTCATTCTCCAGACATACCCAACATTAGACTTCAATTTCAATAAATCACTTCACAATAGTTGCGTACAGCTGATTAGATTATTAATGTTATCTAAAAAACAATTCCAATTTACTCACTATTAAATGTATCACCTTAAAAAGTTTCCTCTCTCACATCTAAACTCTTTTGTAAGTGTTTCGTAAATATTTAGTAGGTAAAAAATACTTTCTAAAAAGGGAATGAGAAATATGCCCATCTCATTTATATATATATATTTCTCATTTCGTTGATTTGATTGGCCAAGAAAGTCAGATCAGCTTATTTTAAATATCGGGTGAGCGGTCCAGATCCTCTTCTCATCCTTTCTTTCCTTTTCTTTTCCTCATCCTCATCTCCTCCCGTAAACAACAAAATAAATGGTACAAATTTAATCATTTTATAAAATAATTATCATATTATCATATGAAAATAAAAATAAATTTAAATTATTAAAATTTAACCTCACAATTTACAGTTACATACTGTTGTTAAATTTTAATTTATTTTATTAGTTATAAACTAACTATACACTTTAAATTTTAACATTTTAAAATTATTTATTTATTTTTTAATATAATATCATGATGATTGCTTTACAAAATAATTGAATCTGATGCCTTCATTTTTTAACCAAAGGTGGAGATGGGGATGAGAAGAATAAAAGGAGAGAAGGAATGAGGAGAGGATAATAAGTTAGTAACAATCTCAGGTGCCTACATTGATAATAAGTTAATAACAATCTCACACAACACGTCATAAAATAGTTTTGGTGGGTGGTAATAATATGTCATGTTTTCAAGATTGTGATAGAATATAAAAAAGACCAACAACTTTTTTACTCCACTCCCTGCAGTCTTAAAAAACTTGAAGATATTATTATCACTTGTTTATATTAATCTCAAGCCTGCTGTGAGATACCAACATTTTTCTTAAGAGAAAAAAAAAAGGCCAACATTTTTTCTTAAAAGATAAATTTATATTTTAAAGATTTTTTTTTTAAATGCCAGGCAACTTTCGAGCTGCATGTAAACCACAAAGGCGCGGAGTGATTGGCAATTCCATTAAAAATGAAAGAAACAAAAATTACCCCCCCTCCCGGCATAGGCATTGCATGGGATGCCGTCATTCCCGATGCTCCTCGGGCGCTCGCGATAAGAAATCAATTTTTTATTAGACAAGTGTCCTCCAATTCTAATATTTAAATTTTCTGAAATTAGAATTTGTGAATTTAAAAGAATTTCATTTTAATATTTCACTCATTTTATTATTTTTGTATAAAATATAACTTAAAAAAAAAAAACTTGTAAAATCCTCCCATCTCAATCTGAGATGACTTAAATCCTAATTCTAATACTAATGACAATGGCGGAAAAACTTACGCGCCATCAATTTAATTAATTAATTAAAATAACAATGAATAATCTCGTCTCACCTGAGCAATGTCGCCAATGGTGACCAGGATTGAGTCCACGTCGGGCAAAACGGACACCCAACCCGAATCCGACAGCAGCGAGTGCTTCTGACTCCTGATCTGGTACTGCAGCCCAACTATGAACGGGTAAAACCCACCCGACACGACCGGCTTCGTGCTCCGCTCGCACTCCGAGATCCACATCATGGAACAGAATCGGGTCGGGTCATCCCTCACGGGATTCTCGAAATCCATGGCCTTCGACAGCAGATCAATGATCTCTAATCCCAACTTCTCCAGGGCGCGCGTGAATTCGCGCAGAGATGCCAAGGACAACTCGGTAGACTCGGTCGAACACGACCCGTCCAGACGGAACGACTCGCCCTGCCCACCCGCTTCGTCGTCGTCGTCATCGTCGCCGCCGCCACATTCGTAACCGAGAGGCCAGTTTTTGGGGAGCAACGACTCCTTCTGGTCTCTAGGAAGATCGAAGAGGGCGAGGGATTCAGACTCGGCGGAGCTGGCGAGTTCTGGAGGTACAGAGTGGTGGGTGAGCTGGAAGAATCCGAGGTCGGAAACGAAGGAGAGGAGGTCGTTGGTGGGGGTTTGATCGGCGGAGAGCGATATGACGGGAGGAGAGGTGGCTGGGGAGGAGGAGCAGCGAGTGGGGAGAGAGAGAGTGGGAGGTGGCAGGCGGTGGAGGAGGAGGCGGGAGAAGGCATCGGCGGCGTCGGGAGCGGGGCAGAGATTGTTGTTGGAATGGGCAGAGGGCGTGGGAGGTGGAGCGGAGGTTGCGCCGCTGTAGAGGATCGGCATGAGTGGTTGTTTGCTAGCTGAAGAGGCCATGACGAGGAGAAGCAGTGTAGGAGAAGGAGGGACGTCGTGAAGTAATTGATCAACTGGGGAGCTCGTTTCTCATATAGTTGATGATCCCGTTCTATGCAGGCGTGCGAAGATTGGCGGCACAAGCTTTTCGCGCGTGTTAAGGGCATTGAATAAAATTTACTCGACACATTTTCCCTGTATCGTTATGAATTTAAGAAATAAATAATAATATATGACTTATATAGCATTTTTTTAAATACATGGAACATAGGAAATGGGGGCGTCCTATGTTGAAGGGAGAAGATTCAAGATATAGCCCGAACAACAAAAGTCACACACACACACACACACAATGGAACCAAATGTGAAAAAAGCAGAAGAAATATTATCTCCATTTGCAGAAGAAAAACAAGTTATCTTAAATAAATATTGATTGTTTAGGTCATTTGAGAAAACTAATCCACGTAAATGGATAATAAGAATAATGATGACTTGTGGCTTAATCATTCCGTATACGGAACAAATATGGCCGGGAGGATTGTGTTGTTGATTAAAACGATGAGTTCAGTTAACATAGCATCTCTGATAACTGGTGCATCAATTATCATTTATATTTTATACATATACATTAAAAGCTGGAAAAAGCAAATAAACCCATATTCAAAAAAGCAGAAGCAATTTCAAAGGGGTATGATATGGGTTGTGTCTGTATTGTGTGGTTGAATATATACTTCCTTTGATTTTATTTATAAAACATTCTGTAAAAATATTTTTTTAATATAAAATATAAGATATCTAGTAATAATTAAATTATCTTTTTAATTTTATCTCTTATTAATTAGCATAAAAATATTCAATATAATTATATTATTATTTAAAATAGAGAATAAAATAAAAATATCTTTTATTTTTTTATAATATAAAAAAATTGACTATTTTTAGAATGTTTAAAATAATTAGAAGTATTCTGTACTAAAAATAAGAGGAGGTAGACAAATAAAGATGAAGGCGGCTTTTGAGGTTTGCAGTTGCATAGTGGGAGACTGTTGCCTTGTTGTGAGGAAAGATTCTTTATTTAAACCAGGCTTTTGAATCACGTGCTCTCATAAAATAACTACCAAGCATATTATGCTTTGGATTTGGAATCCTCATCCTTTTGTACGTTTTGTTTTTGTTGCAGTCAAATAATAATAGTTATAATATATGGCGTCAGCCATGCCTGGGTTGTCAGATGTAATTTACATTGTACAAACTCCTATGCATTTTCTCCTCACTCTTCAACTCTCGCAGCCTGACTATCTTACAGAACATCACATGCCTTGCCTCACTTTGAGCATGGTGTGTGATGCTCCTTCTATCTCATTTCATGTTTTAAAAAATTCATTTAATTTTATAAATCATGACACAATTTTTAAGATAATATTTTATAAATATTTTTAAAATTATCCTTTATAAATAAAAAAAATAAAATTACATTACTTTTTAAGTTTATTATATAAGATTATATTTAAAATTTTATACACTTTTATTCATTTTATTTTTTATATTATTAATAAAATTGATAAAAATAATTTGTAAATAATCCGGAAGCAGTGCATCTCACGTGCGACTTTCACGTTCATCTTGATTTGATTTTCACGGTACAGCCCCATATGAAATACCTAACTACTTGCATATTCATTTTGCTTGCTTTTTTACCGAATAACGAAATAAATGTTTTGTTCAACTGATGAAAAAATTAAATTATTTTATTTTCAAAGTTCAAGTTTAAATTTTAAGATATACTATCATGATAAATAAAAATATAAAAAATCATAAAAAACTAATTTGGGAGGTAGTTTAGGAAGAGATAATGTTTTATTATGATGCGTCCCTAAAATGCGAAGTCAATAATCAATATTGACGTAGGTCGGGTAATTTTGGGGTTGTCTTCTTTGTCAGGTCTCACTGAAAATTAAAAAACAGAACAAGAACTAGTCCTTCATCGACTGCGAAGAGAATGTTTGTTTATAGCATTATTAGTTTTTTGTTGTTGAAATATTTAGTTTTATAATTACTATGAAAAAACGTGCATGACATAACACCTGACCTAAGGCAAAGCGAAATATTTGTCAAAATTTAATTTGTTTTGTTTTAGAAATATAAAATCACAAAAACAAAACTTTTGGTCTACCTTTGAACATTATACTCTGTGTGTGTGAGCAGCTCGGGCGCAACTCGTGATGCATAACATGTTATCTTTAAATATCTCAATTCATATATATAATTGAATATGATAGAATAAAGTAATGTATACGTACCTGAAGAATCTATGAGCGTTTGAGAAATCTTAATTACCTCGAGTGTAGGCAGGTGCACAACCCACAGGTCCTCAAAGCCTTCAGAGAGTTCAGAGATAATGGTACAGTAGAGAAATGAGTCATGTGTCTTGTGGTTATCGACTAATTATCTTATATAGATCATATCGGTAACCGTCTTATTAAATAATAAATAATTATATATTTTATTATCTCTGACTCAGTCAGTTAAGAGATAGGAAATAACTGACGGCTATTGGGTTGTGGGTTGGGTCTTTGCCCATTGGACTCACTTGTGTGGTTTTCCTATCACGGGCCATACAAGATCATAAAGACCAATTTGTTTAGGCTTATTAATTAATATTAATTCATAAATAAATAAATATTCCAATAATCTCCCACTTGGATTGCATTAATTAAGCAAGTTATATAAATAAGCCATAAACAAAATTTAGAAAATGAAACTCCACAAAATCACTGGATCCTATGGGAAAATAGGTGATATAATGTCTCATAATCTGAATAAAATACAAAATTTTTATTCCAAACACAGCTCAGTAAGATAACAACATAAATCACTAATTCTTATGGAGACACAAGTGACATACATAGCGTACCACAACAGAATCATTGAATCCTATAGGTATACAAATGATATAAACGCATCTAACTGAACTGAACATAACTTACAGAAGAAAAATAAAGCCTAAAGAGAAATTATAGCATAAAAGATTCTCAAGTTCCCACTAAACTAGGGCATCAAAGGAATTCATAATACCCATACAAGTTTCATGATTTTGAAAAACTTCTACAGGTAAACCCTTGGTCAGTGGATCTGCAAGCATCTGCGTGATAGGAATGTGTACCACACCAGTTTGAGACTCAGCAATTTTCTCTTTCACAAACATAAGTTTGATATCAAAATGCTTTGTACGGCTGAAATTTCTGTGATTATTAGCATAGTATACTGTAGATTTGTTATCACAGTAAATGGTTAGAGGACATGATATTGACTCAACTAGGCGCATGCCAGATATCAACTTCCTCAGCCATATAGCATGACGTGTAGTCTGAAAACAAGCAATATACTCAGCTTCCATAGATGAAACTGCCGTAAGTATCTATTTCACACTGTTTCAAGAGACAGCTCCTCTAAACAACATGAAAATATAGCCAGTCATGGATTTATGATTGTCCAAACAAGAGGCAAAATCTGAAACTAAAAAGCCAACAATTTCAAGATTTTCTGATCCCTTAAAGTCATAATCAGAATACCCAATAACCTCAAGAGAATTTGACCTTCTGTAAATTAATATATGATTCTTTGTACCTTGAAGATACGTTATAACTTTCTTAACAGCCTTCCAATGATCTGGACTTGGATCGTTTAAGTATCGATCCAGCACTCCAATGGTAAAGGCTATATCTGATTAAGTACACACTTGAACATACATAAGGCTACTGACAGCGAAAGCGTATGGTATCTTTCTTATTTCAGCCCTTTTCTTATTATCCTTGGGACACTGTAACTCTGACAACAGTTCACCTTTCTGTACAGGAGCAGGTGAAGGAGAACATGAATCCATTCTGAATCTCTTAAGTACCTGCTCAATATAAGTGGTCTGTGATAAACCAAGAATACCACGAGATCTATCACGATTAATCTGTATCCTAAGAATGAAGGAAGCTTCACTTATGTCCTTCATGTCAAAATGGCAAGACAATAGGTGCTTTATCTCATTGGGAAAATTTATTGAATTGCTGGCTAATAAGATATCATCAACATAGATAATAAGAATAGCAAAATTGTTCCTATCAAACTTCTGATAGATGCACTGATCTGATACATTCTCAACAAAATCGAGCGAGGTGATAATTTCATCAAATTTCAAATACCACTGCCTAGAGGCCTATTTTAGCCCATAGATAGATCTCTTCAATTTGCACAATAGATGTTCTTTACCAGATTCAACAAAACCATCAAGTTGTATCATGTGGACCTCTTCATGCAAATCACCATTCAAGAATGCAGTCTTGATATCCATCTGGTGAAGATCAAGACCAAGCTATGCCACTAAAGCCATTACCACTTTAAAAGCATCTTTGGTGGATACCGGAGAGAAGGTTTTTGTGTAATCAATATCTTCTTCTAGTTGTAGCCCTTAGCTATAAGCCTGGCTTTATATTTATCAATTTCACCTCTAGCTCCTCGTTTTGTTTTAAAGACCCACTTGCAACCTAATAGTTTAAAACCCTTTGGTAGCTCTACAAGCTCCCATACGTGATTGCAATACATAGAGGCAATTTCTTCATTCATAGCCTCTAACCATTCAGAAGAATGCGAGTTAGAAATAGCCTCTTGGTAAGATATTGAGTCTAAACTATCAATAGCATTTGAATCAAATTCCTGCAAATATGCCATGTAATCATCTGGAATAGCAGACCTGAGAACCATTTGGGACCGTCTTGGTTCAACAACCAGATCTCTATCACCTTCTAAAGGTAGTTCATCTTAAGCTTCATCCTGATCTACGACATTATTTCTATCAACATGAGGGGTTGTCAAGATAGGCATAGGCAAAATGCTACTTTCATCATGTAAAGTAATATGCCTAGGCACAGAGCTTCTACTGTCTAAGGCATCTTCAAAGAAATAAGCTCAGTCAGATTCAATTACCCTAATAGTGTGATTTGGACAACAGAATCTGTACCCACGAGATCCGATGCAATAGCCAATAAAGAAACCATCAATAATTTTAACATTAAGCTTTATCTGTTATGGATTATAAGGTTTTACCTGTGCTTTACAACCCCAAACTCGCATATATTTCAACGTAGAGTCAT